ACACACACACACACACACACACACACACACACACACACACACACACACACACACATATTTATGTATATAATTTGTAATACGTGCATATACATTGAGAAAAATTTCTGGTTGAAAATAAAGCAGAAAATTGTAATCCTATCAATTAAAAGTCTAATTACCTCAACTAGAATTATAATAGATTCAACCAGAAAATTCTGATTTGTTTATTTTTAATCAGAATTCCTATTAATACAACCAGACTTTTTATCCAGTGTATGTATAGTAATTTATTTACATATCGATTACTTTTATTGTATATTATTATCATATTTATTTATCAAGATATATGTATATATAAAATACATGATTCGTACATATTTGTATATATAGATAATATACACGTACATAACTCATAAAAAACAAAAACGTGCGCCAGAGAGGACGGCAATAGAGTTACGATAAGTTATTGCAGCAGAGTTATCGATATCGGATACGACCTATTAAAAGATAGAGAAACGACTTTGTTATTATGTAGCGTGTTCGCAAAATTTATGTATCATTGTCGCGATAGAAAAGTGTCCTGAAAAATTGCAGCTTGTATTTCGCGTAAAACGGTATTTCGCCACTTTGCGATTGTAGGTCGATTTGTCATGCTTACTGGCAATATTGCATGCGTTAACATAATACAAGCATGCGTTCACGAATCGAATGTGCGTGGGGCTGCAAATTTTCGCTACCGACGTATCCACTCGACGATTAATTATAATCGCATTAAGCTAATACTGTTCCTAAATGAATAACGTGTCGCAACTACACGTTGTGGAAAAAATTTCGCATAAACTTTATATTAATTCGATATGAAAGATATCAAGTGAATAAAATAAACTGTGTCGACATATTATATCGTGGAATTTATACAAGGAAATATATTGACATAATTAATACGTTAATGTCATTTTTGTAACTTTTTATTTTCGAAAAATATTAATACGAGAAAAACATTCTACCTTTTTCAGCGTACATTGAAAAAAGAATCTGGGAATAGTTATCAAGTGTTAAGTGAAATAATTTCAATCAATTATTCGTATAACTAAATATTAATATGACTAAACATAATTATATTCTTCTAAATATTTAATAAGTATTACCAAACATAATAATGTAATACCAAACTAATCGTTTAGTAATAATTATTAAATATTTAGAAAAGTAAAATTAGTTTTTATTACATTATAATGGAACATTTCATTGAAATTATTTTGCACAACAATTGACAGCTATTAGACTCTTTTTTCAGTGTTTAATTAAAAATGAAGGAATCTACGGAAAATTCGGCGTTGCATACGAATTCCTTTGAGAAAAACATTAGGAGGTTTGAAAAATCAAAAGTTAATTATTGCCGATAATATCGTGCATTGTGCAACTCCACTGTATCGCTCGATCTCATAGACAGCCCGATCTGACTGTATTACTGTTCGTGCGTTTACGCATCAAGGTTTGACGAAATCATAATATCATAAGAGCAATCGCATGAGCGCTCGATAGCGGGAGAAAGTAAGAGCTACGGAGAAGTCGTGTTTCGCATCCATCTCGAATCACCGGTCTCGATTCTGACAGCTGGATTGGTCCAATCTGACATGTGCACACGCGGCCGCGAATGAAGAGCAAAGCAGGAAAAACGGGATACCCCGATTTGATAATATTATCACTCACACGTGCTTGCGTTGATCTCTTTCTTTCTTTCTCTCTCCCTCCCTCCCTCTCTCTCTCTCTCTCTCTCTCTCTCTCTCTCTCTCTCTCTCTTTCTCTTTACCCATCTCACTTTACTCGCATTAACAGAGCCAATGTTTTAAAGAAGCAGCATCGTGACTTATAGTCTGGTAGTCGGGTATTTCAGAATCGTCGAACGAGACATTAGCGTCAGCATCGATAATGACGTTTAATCTTGATAGATGATTCTAAAACTTTTTCTCTGCAATGAATCGTAACGTGAATTATTGCATTATATGCATCCCGTAAGACATAGTTTATCACGAAGGTTGTTCATTAATAATGATCCTATATTTTACCTTATTTTTATTTCACATATATATTTCAAATATATAAATCTTATAAAGTGCATAATAATATATAATTAGTCCTTTTTCGAAATCTTGAATAACATCATTATTTTATCTTGCATAAATCTATCTATTGCATATATCCATATATTGTATTTATAGCAGACACTTTAAATGTAATATAAATTAATCTACGTTATATAATATTTTTCAAACATAGCTACAATATCATAAGAACTTAATTAAAGATATTAACTTTTAATTGCTTCTTTCCACTCATCATTTATTACAAGCTTCTGCTTACTTTTTTACCATTTATAATTATGAAAAAAGATAGGAAGAGAGCTGCAACGATATTTGCGTAAGAAGAGCGTTTCCTGCTTTCTTTTCTAGTATTTTTCTAGCACTTACGCATTTTTGAGGATAATGCGATCTGTTACAGAGGGATCGAGCTGTGATTTGGATCGGAATAATGCGAAGCCTGGATAGGCTATCGGGTAGCGACCAAGACTGTGGTGATCGGGAAATGTACATCGACCTGGACGACGCCTCCGTTGACTCGCTTACCGGCAAACGTACTCGCCACCATGTCGCAGAGGTATTTCACCTATTCTCTTCTCTCCCTCCCTCTCTCTCTCTCTCTCTCTCTCTCTCTCTCTCTCTCTTTCTCTCTCGTTTCCCTTTTTTTATCGCATTCTGTGACGTGCGTTATCTCGCCCCAGGCTTTTAAAGTTCCGTAGTCATTTACACCGAATAAGAAAAGATACTCGACCCACATAATTCTTTATTATCATGCCGATTTGATAAGACACAGGCTTTTCCGACGCTTCTTGATTTGTAGCGCGACGAAATAGAATAATTTGCAATGAGACACGAATACAATGTTTAGTGCAACGCGATACATAAACAAAATTAGTTGACTTCGATCGAATTCGATGAATAGGTAATAAATTAGTTTTAAAAGTGAAAACTTTAAAAGTGAATTTGTTCTATGTAATACATGGAACAAATGTCGCTTATTATCAGTTATCCAAATTGAGTAAATTATTTTTTTTTATCAGCATTATGCAGCATCGAAGAAAATTACAAACATTTTATCTATCAGCATTTATCGCTTAGACAAATATCCTCGAAACGCATTGTTAAAAGGAGGGACAAGGGGGTAAAGAGGTTAAATAAGTTCTTTTGTTGATGAAAATAGCACGGTAAGATCTTTGGTTAGATTAGATTAGAAAATACTATTATGTAAGACGTTAAAATACGCGCATTAAAATAATCACTTTTGCTTGTGTCGATTATATTTGGATATAGACTGTGGATAATAAATTCTTTAAAATAATATTTGTAAGATAATCATTTTTCTCATGAAATTAATTCAAAATGAATATTGAATTAACAGTGAATTTAAAGTAAATTAAAAAAAATTAATCATATTCTTTTCAAAGTATTACTAAAATCAATTTAACGAAATAAAAAATTTACATCATGACAAAATATTTATATTACCATGTCATACATAAAACACGATTAAAGATAGTAAAAAAAGACGCACTGTACAAGATATTTGTAAACGCTCTGTGTTCTTTGAATGGTTTGAGAATCGCAAATATTATACGTCAGCACAATTTTCGAACGTAAATTGTTACTTTGTGGGAAGTTTTCAAATGGAGATTCGCTCGTATGTTCATCGCGTCAGGCTATGAAACACTAGAGCAAATATTTAACGAAGATCTATTCTGTTATGAACCGAACGAAAAACAGGTGGGCGAGGAGAGCGACAGCAGCGGAAGCGAGAGAAGTCCGAAGCAGGCGAAGAGAAGAAATCGCGGCAGTGCGCCGCCGACCACGAGGAGACGGAAAAGCGGAATTTCCGCGCGCGAGAGGAACCTGAGGAGGCTCGAGAGTAACGAAAGAGAGAGAATGAGAATGCACTCCCTCAACGATGCCTTTGAGGTAATAGTTTATTGCTTCCTCAGGCAGCTTTCGCTTCGTCGTCGCGTCGACGAGCGCGACGAACTTTGCTAAAAACTTTCGAAGAACGAGAAACTTTCGCTACGGAACATTAAATCACGAACAATAAGAGTGAAAATAATGAAGTATAATCGATTTTTGTCCCATAAACACGTCATTCTGCGGGATTGCTGAGCAACGGAAATGCCATATATTTAAAACACTTATAAGTGAAAATTAGACCAATAAAATTAAATAAGATAAAGAAATTATTATTATTATTATTATTATTTGTTATTGTCAAGCACAAAGATCTGCTTCGAACTGTGAAAATAAGATTCTTTTTTTTTTACTTAAAATATACTTTAGCAATAAAATATTTGAAATATATTGTAGTTAAAAGTACTATAATTTTTTACTAATATTTGTTTCTAATGTTAAAAAAAAGACAATTTGTTTATTTAACTCGATTACGATCATCATTACTTATTATTACGCGAAACGTTGTCGATCGGCATTGAACGACGAAATGCAAACGATAGCGATATGTAAAAAATTGATTTGTGTGGAAGATAAATGACAACTCGCAACTGCAGCTCTGTCCGATAAGTAATTATTTTATTGACTGATCACGCGTAGCATCGTTAAAAATGTATCAACTTTCGACTATATTTGATTACATTGCAAGTCGTTATTTATCGCAAATGCGACTCGATGTAATAGATAGACTTTCAATCCACTTCTCCCGGTTGTAATTTACAGCAATTACGCGAGGTAATACCACACGTAAAAATGGAGAGGAAACTCAGCAAGATAGAAACGCTCACGTTGGCTAAAAATTATATAATAGCACTGACGAATGTCATATGCGAGATGCGCGGCGAAGAACAGCCGTACACGTGAGTATTGTTCTAATCTAGTGTTTTGTTAAATCGCAACATAGCGTGAAATAATTATTCGCTATATCAAAATTAAACAATTCATATGTGAAGAACTATATAAAGAGAAAAAAAATAGAAGAATGAATATTTACACTGAGAAAAAAATAGCTTAAATTTAAATAAATATTTATTTGAATACTATCAACTAAATATTTGCTTACAATAAATAAATATTTACTTAATAAAAAGAAGTAATTGTTAAATCAAATTAATATTTTTTGTACAAAATAAATATATATTTATATTTAATAAATATTTAGTTGGTTTAATATATACTATCCAAATATTTATTGAAATTTAGGATATTTTTTTCTCAGTATAGTAAAACAACCTGGACTCTGGATAAAAAACTCAGATTATAGAGAGAAGTAAAAATATGTATAATTGCAGATGGAAGATTATTTAATCTTGATTGTACAAAAAATTCTATCGTCATCAAATTAATCTCCGAAATGATGGTGAACATAGATGAGAGATGCTATGAACTTAGGACAAGTCTGTATTTGAAATGCGTGTCAATATGTCATTGCACAAAGTACGAATTTCTCACAAGAAACTTGGACAAACGAAAGTTTCGTTATCATGAGCGGTTGTAAGCTTGGAAACTTTCTGGAACGAAGAGAGAAGTTGTATATATTTTCAACGCGAGGAGTCGCGTTCTCAAAGAAAGCGCGATGTTTCGTCGAGATTGATCAGACGTCGATCGGGAATCGAAGGGATCGTTTCTCGTGCTCGAAAGCTGTTTAGAAAGCAGACAGAGTGTAGTGTTTCGTCGAATCGCTGAGTATCGATATCCCAACTTCGTCGCGAAGAAACTTCGCACTTTGTGAGAAACATCGTGCATACGAATTTGTCAGCAGACAAAGCAATGCTTATTCTCGTCGAGAAGGATTATGGAAAAGCAATATTCTGTTATTTCTTCATAGGAACGAATAATCCAAGTTAAAAGTTTTAAAACTTTAATCAATATATGTGAAATTTATATACGCAAACTCAATTATCAAATATTAAAGCATGAGACAAATTTTTAATAAAATAATAATTTCTCTTATATTTTTTCTAATCTATAGATAAAAAATAATTTTACACTAAAAAAATATTACTTTGAGTGTAAAATAATATAGAACAATCATATGTTGCGACGCTATTGTAACAAATCCAGTAGTAGAAGTAATTGCATGCGCGACACGTAATACTCAAGAGTCGAGAATATTCTGAGATCATCCTGAATAGTGTAATAGTAAACACACTTATCTATATTTTAAAAAGAAGATATTATAGTTAGAGTACATATTTGCAGTACAAGTTCCGAGTAAATAACTCGACAATTAATTTTTCAAGAATAAATCAATTGTTCTCACTATTTTTCTAAATACATATAATAAATTAGATTTCGTTACAATATCTTAACATTTTAATTATCCTTAAGTGTGATAAAACAAATGATAAAACTCAATATATTTTTTAATGTATTTTTTTGTCTATACATGTTTAGCGAGAAGTAAATTTATGTTAGAAATTTACGATATCTCGCAGGTGCTCTCGAAGATCTCTTACGTTTATCGACATCCTCTAATTTCCCATTCAAACTTCGTCTGCGAAGATCGTGTCGACGAACAACCGTTGCAATACCTGAGAAATCGAGTCCATCGCTAAACCACAGTCAATTTACTGTCCCCAAACCAATTCTACGAATACGGTCAAGGGATCGTGTCGAATGTAAGTTAGAAGCGGATGAGGAGAAGACGAGAAATGGACTTGGTGCACAGAGGGGGAGGGAGAATGCTATCGCGGTAGAAGGCGCCTCTAATTCGATTATTTAGTTAGGTCAGGTTCGCTGTAGTTGGGTTAGCGTCAGCTGGGGCCAAAGGTTACTCGAAGGCACTCGTAACTCCTAATTGTATTTACTTACAATAAATCTTCTACCCTCGTCTATGTATTTGATTAGCGGCCAATCTAGCAGCTACCCTTTCATGATACGTTCCGAAACTTGCGACGTTTCTAAGTGCCAATAATATCACTGACATTTATGATAATTTTCTGATTAATTGACTTTCGAACTTACATAATTTTATATAATTTTGTATAACTCATTAGAGACGTCGCTTGGCCTATCATTCGGAAAAATATATAATTTATGTGATGATCTTTTGCCATTAAATATCTACTATTAATAATGTGTGCTTAAAAATTACTGTCGGTTATTAATCTTTCCCGCGTTATTAACTAGAAGTACCTACCGAACGATTACTACGTTTTTATTTTTCATATTAATATTACATTTTTTGTAAATAATGTAATTAATAAATTGTGTAAAAATTGGAATTAAAAAACTTTTTTTTTATTTTCCAAAATAATTATTCTTTATATTAATGAAATATTTAGTTTTTCATCACTTTCTTTATTTTCAGTAAATATTATAGTAATATTCACTTGATCTTTTTAAAGAATAAAAAACATTTGGTACTTCTAATATTAAGAGATATGATTTATTATAATAAACATTAATATAATAAAGCGTTATAAACTTATTCGAATTCTATATTTATAAACTAAATCTAGATATCTCAATGTAAATGTAATTTATATACTCTGTATATTCTTAATATATTTTTTGTGTTACAAGGCATGCACTTTAAGGGAGATTCTGTAAAATATTATATTGATCGCGGTAGAACGCCTCTCAAAGAAAGCCGAGGTTAAGCAAATCCTTGAGACGATGAAAGAAGACGGCGGCGGTAATCCCTGCGGGGTTTACAAAGATTAGGATGCAAATTTTGGAAAGCATTAGACGAAAGCGTCGACGGCCTTCCTCGTGAGGGCGAAATCCTTTTCGGCATCTATCGAGACGTTAAACCGATTCAGTATGCCATTAAAGCAGGTTATTCCTGTAGACAGGCCGAATCGATAGCCACGTTATGGCGAAACCGCGCGTAAATTTCTACGCAGATGCCAGCGAGAACCGTGAGATGGGACTTGTAAAGTTCCATGAAGTGAGCGAACCTTCGAGGATTTCATAAGCATAGAATTTGTTTGCGACTCGAAGAAAATTTCCGTCCTGTCGGAATACGCTGGAATTTTATCCGTAAGGGATTTTAATTGTGTACGATAAACTATGCGTTACATTATGAAATGGATATTTTTAAAGAAATATCTCACAATAAAAATCCCAAGTTACTTTGAAGTTAGTTAAAAGTATGAGATTACATAATTTTTACAGCATTGAGCATAATAGCTTGAAAACTATTAAAATTCAATTTAAGCGAACACCGCGTACTTTTAATTCCATTGTAATTTTATGATGTTTTCGTACTAAGTTTATTTAACCGTCAGTGTATTTACCAAGGATCTTCTTTCTGTTATTGCAAAGATCTTGCATTTTAGAAGATCTCTAAGTGAAGTATGAGAAAAAACTTCTCGATGATGGTACAAAAATTATAATGCAAATTTTTGCAGCTCAATGCTGATTCCTGTTAAAGCCAAAGAACGTTCTACAAACTCTCTACACGATCTACAATATATTCTATCAAACATTAATTTTCATGAATGAGAATAAAATGGATAAAGTAAAATCCGCGTTGTTCAAAATTTATACGTTGAATCTTCGGTTGGATTATTGCGACATATTATGTTTCTAGAAAATATTGTAAAGTTTACGGAAATACGTGCATTTACTCTTTTATATTTAATGAAGCTTAGATGCAGACTTCTATCTGCAAAAAAAAAGTTGGAAACGAAGCCACTGAGCTCTTAACTACATACATACAGTGAAAGAAATAGAAGATGTTTTATTCCTGAGGAGAAGAGAATGAAAAATATATAAATATAGTACACTCGCGAATGAGAGAGATGTACTTTTATCTTCCGCATGTTTTAATCAATCATTCATATCTAATGCACAACAATAATAAAAAGAAAAGTAGAAAAAACGTTTGCTCACTTGACTACGACATACACTAAGAAATTTTTTAGTTGCTTGAAAAGTATGAAAACATTGTTTTTTCCCAAATAAATAGAAAGTACAATGCTAAAAAATAAGAATTTATTCTCTCAAATTATGCCTCGTTAAATATAGTCATTTTATCAGTCAACGGAACGTCTTATCTGGACAAAAGTTCGGTAAACACTAAATCAATTTTTCAATTCCAGCAATATGCCAGGTAATACTTCGACCTGCATATAATATAAACAAACATAAAGAAAAAAGGAAAAACATACTTTAAAGAACATATTTTATTCCTCCACAATCAGTTTTTACACTAAAATTACATTTTAAAATTAATTGCATAATAAAATTAATACAAAATTTCAATGATGTACAATTAATTAATTTTAATCTTATTCATTAAAATTAATTAATTTTAACGATTTAAATTTATTTTCTGGAAAACTCTGTTTTACTACAATAGTTACGTCGTCATTGCAACAAATAAGCGTGTAATACTTAAGGAAATATAAATTGATCTTTCCATAAAAAGATCATGTACGAGTATAACATTCGATTCTTTCAATAAAGCAAATGGGATTGCAAACAATATGCTTCTCTTTATCTTATTTGAAAAATTGCGTTAAATAGATATCTCAATTTACATGATATCTATTTATGCGTTATATGTTTATGCCTTAGAAGTTTAGTCACGCTGTCGTGAAAACTTTTGCGAAGTAGATGAACAATTTTCTTCGAAACCAATATTCGAAAGTTTTGCGAAATCACCCGAAAAGGGCTAGCTAATAGCGAAGTTTGGCACTTAAAAAGTATATTTTTCATGCTCATATAGTCGCCCATTTAAAGAAGTTTGTGCCTGTTCATTGCAAACGCGCGCGCGCGTGTGTGTGTGTGTGTGTGTGGATTTGCCCAATAACAGACCCGACGCTTCCTTACTTGGAGAACAAAATTAAGGAGTCGAGCGCGCACGGGTCCGGTAAAAGGTTTGCTGGTTCGTTACAGTAACGAACTTCTTC